TCTTTCTCTTTGACACCATGTCTGATATCCCACGTGATCTGTCAAATACTAATGCATGAAAATCCTAACCTCAAAAAAATCACCCGATAGTAGAAAAAGCAGGCGCGTCCCTGTCACGTGCCACTACTATTGCCAGACGAGAGCGAAATTGCATTACATAGCCAAACTCAATGGTGTACAACAACAAGCAGCAACAAGTCTACACTAAAAAGCTCGACTTGTATTGCCAATAAATTAAACAGCTTCTCAACACCTGTCATTGATGCGCCGACTGCACTTGTGGCGATAATTGCAAATGACGTGAGTGTCTATGCGCCAGCAAAGAAATTTCTCAAGTGGCCAAAAAGCGCCAACACACACGTGTATATATATATGTATAAAAGGCCAGCAAGTACGTGACGCGGCAGGAAAGAAGTATTAGAGAAATGTGTGAAAAAAATGCAGAATAAATATTGGCATACGTGTACCAACTTTTGCCCTAGTGGGAGTAAATTTTCTTATAAAAACTAGCTCAGCCAAAGGGCGACAATAATAAGAGCTGCTATATGTATATATGACCTTAAATACGTCTCGGATTTAGTATAAATTATGATATATTTTTATTGTATATATATTTTATCTTCAGCAAAGTTTATCATTCATATAAGGAAAGAAAGGGCGGAATTAAAGCGTTGTAAGATCTTGATATTTTTTATTATACTTTTTGATATATACTTTATTCAAATAATCTGTTGACTGTATAGAAAAAATTTGAAAAAAATTTGTTTTTAGCAAGCTATTCGCTGTTTCCAAGTGTATTATTTACATAACAAAAAAAAAGGCTTTCTCTGCTGCTGTGCTCAGGGACTTCAACGTGATCGAAAGCATAAATGGAATCTATAAATTCTTAATCTATTAGGTATTCCATAGGGTTATTTATGACTATTACAAAAAACTTAAACTTAATAAAGTGGAAAACTTTGAAATGAAAGCGTCGAATTTTACAGAAAAATTTATTAGATTTGATCTGCCAACAGTTCGGATAACTTTCTACGCCATATATATAAGTACATATATATAATATATAAATACATACAACAAAAGCAAAAACTACCATCAATTATTTCCCAATGCACTGTATTTGACACATTCGCCATTGTCGTTTAAATTTTTTCAAAAATTTCGTTTACTCTTTCATTATACTATTGTATAGCTACGCGTATACGGATTAATTGAATTAAGCCATTTCATTTAGCAAACTCGGCCTGAGAGTAACACGTTGAGGGTCAGTAGCAGGCAGTCAAAGCTCAATCAATCATTTTGAAATTTATTTGGGAAATTTTGCGAATGACAATCGAAACCTGCAGTGGAATTAACACGCCAATTAATTTCTTTGAATTCCAAATGGCACTGTGTCAATTTACTAAATATTCGCTGATGATTCTAAAAAAAAAAAATACTTAACAAGTATAAATTTGGCATTCGTGCAATGATATTTGAAAATTATTTGCGCTTCAATTGGTGCCCCAAATTTAAGAGTTTATTAGTTATAACAAACACTTTTGTGTTAAGGCCTCTTAGATTTCAATGCAATTAGTATACATATGTATGAAATATATGTAGTATTTTGCATATAAAGCGTGTGTTTTTAAAAAGAGCATTTCTTAGAGTTAAGTTGTCTTGGCGAATTTGACAATTTTCAACAGTTTAAATTTGCATAAAAATCTCAATTTTAAAGGACACGTCAGCGTTCAGGTACATTACACTTTAAGAAAAGCTTTTCGGCTCCGGCATACAAAGGACTTTATTTAGTTAGAGTAAGGAGAGTAAAAATGGAAGAAATTTTCACTTCGAAATTCAACCGAAATTATTAGTTTTTATTAGTTATTTCAAATAAGTCATCTGAGCCTCTAAAAAGACATCCTTTATAAGGAAATTTTGCCATATGTACCTACTTGTATATATTGAGTTTTAGACAACGTCTTGTAGGCAACTTACTTATTGGATATATGAAAACAATAAACAAGTACCAAGAAATATCTGAATGAAGCAAAGTCCAAGCTGTCTCGATGACAATGCACACGTTCGTAATGCAATGCCTGATGACAAGACGCGCACATACAAACTCTGCGTATAAATTGGCAGTCACAAGGCAAAGCTTCGGGTCTGTTGGCCACGCTCTACATTCAAGTGTGTATGCGTGTGTAGGAGTAAGTAAGTAAGATAATAGAAGACTCTACAAAAGCAGTATATATGAGGTGTTCCGCTAAGATGTTCCTACAAGCTACTTTACTGCCTTATTGGACTTATTAATGTGGATTTCAGAGTGGTTATTGACTCATTCTAGATATTCCTGGTAAGAATGTAATTCGATAAATAATCATTAGAAACTCAGTATGATTATTGAAGTGAATATGTAGTATTTTTGCAAAGTAATTTAATCTTAGTGTACATTAGAAGAGAACTAATTATTTAGTAAGAGCGACGGAGGAGTATACACTCAGCATCTTCCCTGCACTTTAATTGCTCTCACTTAAGTAATACTTATATTGAAAGTCATGAATGTGCCAAATTTGTTAATAAGAAATCAATTGAAAGCAAAGAAATTGTATTAAAAGTCTTTGTAGGAGTTAAACATGTTCAAGGTTGGTCAGGGAGTGCCTAACCTCGC